TTACCATTCTACCCAACGCAGCTCTCTTGAGCATCTTGCATCGATACAAAGAGTCGCCATATTTCATCAAACGTACATACTCTCGTGCAATTCTGAAAAAAAGAAGTGACTAAGAAGACAAAAGCTCGCTCACAAAAGTCAACCCTCAGACGACCTACCCATCTATCAAGTGTCTAGCCGTGTTCATCTGTCCAAGAGCAATTTTGTAATGATCTCTATCATACAGAATGTTCATCAAATCAGAATAGAACGGATGAACTTCCTAAAATGAGCAATCTTGCTGTTGCCTAATTTGAAAAGTAATAACTCATTGAAGTGGACCTACCTCCATTTTCGGAAACTCATTTATGATCTGAGTTAACTTGTCATGCAGAGTTTGTTGCAAAAACTTGATTTTTCGTGCATAGAAAGCACGTATCCGTCCAATCGCATACTGCCTGTGGACAACAGTTGGAGTTTTACGCTGAGTTTTTGACAAAACAATGTCCTTCAGCTCCTTAAAAGAGCACATTTACTCCTCGTTTACAGCTAGACAGAAAACTTCATGGCACAATACTCTAAAAAGAGAATCGATACTATCATGAGCATTTTTCGCTCTCATAATATTATACTCCAATTATGATTCTAGGCTGAAAACTCCCCAGAAATTCTTTCACTCAAAAAGTCGCGCTTTTCCTTTCGTCAAAGAATCTTCTCACCACAATGATGTTTTTCCAACCACGTAAACAAAAAAATCCACTCATCATACCTTGACGCTTCCCAGCCCATTCACATGGCGCATGACAATTATAAAGCTACCAGTTTTATTGCATTATCTTAGAGATTTTGTAAGAAAATGCTTGAACAGCTCCGCACAAAAGAAGACCTCTCCAAATCAAAACTCGACAATTTCTGAGTTCAAAACTAAGTAGAAATTTTAAAAAAACATAATTAGTATGCAGACAACTTGCCGAGGCTGTCGGAACAACCGTAATGCGTTTGAAATTGTACTGTGACGTCATCGTTCACAGCTGGGGACCCTGAACACACTTAAATCTACTATGCTCTGAAGAGTTACAACGGATCGAGCAAGGGAGATACGCTTCTGACAACAATCTAGCACATGGGACTAAAAAAAAGAAAATACAAACCCAGAAATTCTAAAGAACACAAGGAGTACATAAATAAAACACTTCCAGTAAGAAATATCTTCTTCAAATGTTAGATTAGCTAGAAATGAGTGATACAGCGTAAAACAAAGTATGGGAAAACTAAGCTTCAAAGAAATTCACGAAAAGCAATAGCATGGAGAAGAAAT